TCTATTTTCCTACCCCATTTTAGGGATGGTGGTAGCAGATGTTCCTTCAGATGACTTTCTCCAATGATTTCCTCATAAACGTTTCTGATAGGAGCCTGTCTTTGTCAATGGCATTACAAGCTTCACTAAGATTTGAGGCTTTTATTAAACCTTTCACGAGGGTCTTCCCAATATATTACTCACATTACTCTTATTAAATGTAATCATTTTGTAGAACTGGTCTACATTCTCTTGTAGATTTGTATTTGAAATGTAATTTACTTCAAAAAAGGTTGTTGCTTTCTTTATGATGGAAATATTTTTTAGATCAGTGCAGTCTGTCTGAGTCGGTCGGGATCTTTCTTCTGGACTGAGTAGAATATCCAAGCACTGGATATATCCTGCAATTTGCAATATACAGGAAATATTAATATTATGTAATAGCCTTAATTGTAATTTGCATAATACATACTCTGGCACCAAATATATCAGTAAAGAGGATTTTTGTGTACCTGTTGAAGTTTTAAACAGAATTGTCTTTTACTGTCGGCTGATATAGGTTGGCGTTGGTTTTCTGGTCTTAAATCGAACAGGTCACTATATGGCATTGTCCTATTTGTTTCAATCTGATGGTATGTAGCTCGCACTATATTCTAATTACGGATAGGTACTGGTACATCATGATGTCTTTGCCTTTTGGCCAATTTATTTTCACCTTCAGTGCATGATTTTATTTCAGAAACCTCTAGTTCATATAGGACAGCTTTAAGGTGTCGACAAGCTCCATCAGCACTTATTTGAATGGAAGAGTAATTATTATTCATATTTTTAAAAAAATAATTTTAATTATTTGAGCAAAGTATCAGGTTAATTAAGAGTCTTGTGTGTGCATGATTTTCAAATAGTATATAATTAGTTTAAACTTAACCTCCAATACATTCACAATGACCGGTGACAACAAAACCATTTTCCTTGTCCAGTAAAAACCACAAATCTTAAAATGTTTTATGTAAGTAAGTTTTGTCCCTCTGTGTGGGCATTACTTTTGCTCTAAATACACAAACAGCACTATTATCAGCTATGTGGATGTACTCTAGACTCTCAAGATGACCGACAGAAAAGAGTTTATAGTCCTCAAAAGACTTATACCCCTTAAGTTTCTTTTCATTATAATCGGACTTGGTAAAGATCATGTAATTAAATATGTCTTAGCCCAAAAAAACGGAATGTCAGTAAAATCAGTTGTGTATCCGGCTAATTCAAGTGGGTTTTGTTAGAAAGTCCTGGTCTTTTGATTTTCCCCTTTATATCACGCAGGACCGAGTCTTGTTGATAATCAGGGTCAACAGGCAAGTTCAAGTTGTACACTGACAAAGCAATTTCCCTAAGAGACGCCTTATTATAACCAGTGGTTGTCACGCCTCGTGCCCTCAAGTATTCTCGCAGCTCAGGAAAACGTAAGCTATTTATATCGACACTCGAGGTAAATGTAAACAATGGTAGCATGCAAGCGTGTTTGTCCGATGGAAATCTTTTGTGATTCAAGGGCCGTAACTCGAAATCGCGGTAATTCGAAACGTTCGATAATTGGCAAATGGACTATTGATGACAAGTTTGTCAACGATAATGCTCTGCCAGTTGATGCACTTGAGGTATACACATTGTTTTTCGATATTTTCAGACAATATGAATTTCTTTCAATCATGGTACAGTTGACGAAAGTTCATGGAGTCAGGCTTTTACATTGTCAAAGTAAGGAGAAATGCAACAACGGGTTGCTGTACAGTTTCTTACAAACTTTCCCCTTAAAACGTTTTACCCGTCTACAGAGAGGGCCTGGAATAGTTTATGCGTCAACGACGACGTTGACGCGTAACAGAGCCATTTCAGGAAAAGGGTTATTCATCCTGCCACCTGTTTTATCGCCACCTTACTACCACTGAAACAGCTATTAATGAAATAGGCTATCACAATCATTACATTCACCCTAAAACTGAAAGAAACCCATTGCGCGATTTGGAGTTTTCAGCTTGACACCTTTACGTTGGTGTTCCTCTCACTGCGCATGCGCGCGTCGTTTGCCTAGGCTGTGACAGATGCGCGAGGAGGATATTGAAGATAATGAGAATTTTTGACTTTCACTTTTGGGGAATATCGTCATAAGGGTTTCAATAACTCATGATTTATACGACAAAATCAAATGAGATTTTGGTTTCATTTTCATTAAACATGATTTTAAACATTAGATAGGAAGACTGGGAAATACATAAGAAAAAATAAAATTATTCACTTCAAAAGTGTACCCTGCGTTTCTTTTTCCTTTCAGTATATTTCGCCGGTACTTCAACAACTACATTGGCTGTCTGCAAAACAACCTGTTTTGCTGACAACATACTTACGTCACTACACTCTACCTCAGCACCAGCATACATGAGAGAGCCATGTCCTGTTTACCAGCCAAACAGAACCTTGAGTTTATCATCTGACCATTTGCTACTGGCAGTGAAGAAATCAACATACAAATATGGTGCAAGAGCCATAAACACACTAGGTGCACAATTGTGGAATAAACTGCCATTGGAACTTCGAGAGCTTGAGGCACATGGAACACTCCACAAGAATCTAAAACACTCTTGTTCAAGGATGAATATGCCCTGTGAATGCAAAATCCAGTATAACATCAAGGGCCCGTATGTAATCTCGTAACCACCATGTCATCTTACTACCATGTTTTATTTAAGGTCTTTCTGTCGTTTTATCATTTATTTTACATAATAATTTTATCATAGCTCTGACGGATCTTTTATTAGTATATTATCATTAATTATTAGCACAAACATAGAACGTCACTTAGAAACTATATTTATTTTATGCGCTTTATAGATTAATAATAATAATACGGCGCTATCACTATTAAATATTATGTTTCTAATTTTTATTATATACAATAAGATGTAAGTCTTATGCAATAAAGTGAATATATACATATGTGTTATTTCACGATATTTAGAACTGATTGTATTAAAACTTCGCCAAGTAAATGGTCGAGTGCAAGACAATTTCCAGCTGCAGTCATTATATTTAACGTCAGTGGGTTGGGATTATGGAAATTAAGATTGAAATCCTCATGCAAATTTATGTTTTTAACCATTTAAAAAAAAATAGTATTTATATTTTTATTTCACACACACGGGGTGGAAACATTCCAAACATAATATGAACTGACCATGGACAAGTTTGAAGAACGTTTAAAGTGTAACTGAAGTAGCTTTAATGAATAAATTAACAAAGTTACTAGCCAACTTGGATTAAAGCAGTAAACTATCTCCAGTTATGTCTGTCAACCCAGGTAAGGGGATATCTGAACTATGATCAACGCTAAATGAGAACACAGTTGTAAGTTTCAAAAAATTAATAAAGTGAGAATTATCCTTTACAAATGATTACAAATAATAAATAAAAGTCAAAATTTAACCAAGAATAAAGGGAGGAATGTGGAAACCTATGAGAATAATTTATGTCCCAACTGAGCTTCCATACGTATGAAAAAGGTCAAAAATCCTATAAGAACTGCTATAAATGTCAATGAGTTGGAAAAATGTAAGGGAAATTAGCTACATCACCAAATATGAACTCTACTAATCAACACTCTAGAGTTGAACTTAAAATAATAATGCTAAATCTGGACTCTAAAAATATCTAACCCCGAAAATAAACCACACCAAATATATAATAAATAGTAAATAGTGGTTCTAGGAATTAGACCTGTTATCATGGTTATCTACAAATCCCTAGACCAGACTGGACTTGGAAAGGGGAAAATAAAATTTATTCTATTTAACCTACATCCTAACTGTTTCCTAACAAAAACCTAGAACTTGTAAAAAACTTGAAACTAAAGCTAGCTAAGACCTAGAGTACTGTTAAACCATGAGGTTTTCTTAGCACTCTAAGGTACTAATCAAATAGTGCTCATAAACCATGAGGTTTTCTTAGCACAGTAAAGAGGAACTAACTATGAGGCTGTGATCCCCAACCCAAGTGAAGAAAACTACACGAACACGGCTTTAAATACCCTAGCTATAGGCCCAAAAATAAAAGCCAATAAACATCTAAGTTAACCAATCAGAACACAGCTATCAAAAGTACTACGGAAAGACTGCCAACATGGATGAGGAAAAACACCTACATAAACTTACACATGGGCGCAGACATTTTGGACACCCAAAGTTGTGCGGAGAAGAAAATGCTACACGGCGCATGATTGGTCATTTAGAGAAAAGACTTGTTATGTATTTGACAAGTGAAATAAAGGTGATAAAAATCTCATATCAAGACTTAGGCTCCTTTGAGATATATAGGAGTTACAGGTAAAAATCTGAAGGGAGGGGTGCACTTTGGTTAGAGATTTTCATTCGGTGCTGAACGCACCTAGTTGTAAACAAATGGAATGGAAAAGTGCAACGGCACGGTATATTTTTCTGGCATGTTTTGTTTTGCAAGATCTCGAACTTTCACGGCAAGAAAGTCATTTGCCCAAAATTGAATATATGAATCAGCGACAGGGGCTCAACTTTGTATGGAAGTCTATGGGAAAACATTTGATGGTGTTTGTCTATGACACTTCCTGTTTAAAAAGTAAAACATGTGGAATGTCAACACATGTCCTAACTTATAAAAGACAAATAATAAAGGGGTTTTACGTAAGTAACAACTGAAAACATAAGGTAAATAGAATTATCAGACTGAAATATCAGCAAATGCTTGCAAAATATAATCTATGAAACCAGGGCTATGAAATAAAAATCTTAACCACTACAAAAGATTACCTGCAGAGTGCACGTGCGTATGCCATGTCTTAGTCATAAGGGGAATTTGTCCCGTAATTCTATAAGGTCCATTTAAATTATAAGCATTTAAATGCATTTTAGATGGCAAAAGGTAAATCCAATTCTCAGTCTATAAATATACACACATCACTCATGATTAAAGTTTTTACGATGTTACCCTTTTTTTTTCCTTCGGCATAATGTAGATTAAAAAGATAACAAGATGAAACTTGGGATATTATTGATTTTCTTTTTAGATTTAAGAAAGGTAGGTCATTATTTATTAATTTATTAATTCATACGTATACCCGATGTTCAGTGTCAAATTTATTACGATCGCTTGCCGTGACACGGGGCCCCCATTTTTAAGTTCTCATCCGGAAGACCTACAACTTTCACTTCAAGGCGCCTAGTATGTGGTGAAGGAACAGATGTTGCCTATTTTAATCAACTTAGGGAACTTAGGTCAGTCGTGGACGGGGTCTGAACCCACGGCCTTTCGATCAACGCTTTACCAAGTGAACTACCATGACGTTCGATATCTAGCCTGAATAGTTGCTTAGCTCTAGAAGGCAAGACCTGTTTAAATTGATATGCAAGATATCACACAAAATAACCAGACAGAACCAGCCTATTAATCTAGCTTAAAATACACTGTTTAAAGACATCAAAACACGCTTCTACGGAAGCCCAATAGTGCAATTCAAAACGAAATTTAAAAAACAAAAATAAAAAATAAAAAAAGAAATTATAAATAAAAAACTGAAACTAAATAAAATAAAAAACGATTTTTTAAAAATAAAAAACGAAAATTAAAAATACAAAAAAAAGAAAAAAAGAAAAAAAAGCGAAAATGCAAAATAAAAAAGCGGGGGGGGGGGGGGGGGGGGAATTAATAACTAACAAATGAAAACCGTAATTAAATTATTAAATGAAAAAAAAAATTACAAAATAAAAAAAACCGAAACTAAAATATGAATCATTCCATTTAGCGCACGTGTAATAAAGCATTAATTCTATAGACTATAGACCCTTTTTTGTTTCGAGATTAATACAAGTGTGATAACACTTGCCTCTACACTTTACTATTCTCATATTCTCATATCAATATCATAATAACCAGATGGAGTAGATTGTACCATTGTATCGACCAGTACCATTGTACAGACTATTGTATCGACCACAGAATTTGCCAAATATTGACTTTATTCGCGACTGTTGGTATATTTGGATCATAAACTTATTTATCAATACATGTAGCTTGCATCATTTTGGAAATTATTCATACGTAGAGCGTGCTCTGCCTATTGAATCAACTTGGAGATAGAAACTTTAAGTTCACGTGAAAGTGGAATGTTGTGACACAAATAAGGGCAGTTGATGATAGAAAAGTTGAAATAATCACATTTATCATAAAGTTTAGTTGTTAGTTGCGATTAATCTTTTTTTCTAGTAAAATAACCAAACAGGATACATACGTATGTGTCAAACCCTGAAGTGTCTTTCATTTCGAGGGATATATACATATAGAATCAACGAAAAAATGAAGTGTAACTAAGATTGGTATCAAGCTTAAGTCTGAGGGCTTCTTTCGTCTGAAATTATTACAAGGACCCTGTTTTACAAAAGAACTAATGATTAAGACAAAAAATATTTTCTGATAACTTTGTATTTGACATTAATTTTAAAATGATTTTAATCTTTTTGAAAGAATTAATAAAATATTTTTATGCTAGTAATTTTTAACAGAATCATTAGTTTTGCAAGAGTTTACAATCAATTAAAGCTTCTGGTCGTAGTCGTCAGTTATTTTGTAAAATGAGCTCAAGCACCATGTATTTTAACATTTATGAATATATGTAGTGTGATCTAATAATTTTAGGTAGTCGTTGACGCCAAAAACCCCCGATCGTGTTCTGTTTCGTCTGCGACAGTGCAGTTTGTAACGTCATGTCCTTCCACCGTTCAGGAATACAAGAAAAGGTCAGAAGCCAAAGGTTGCCAATATATAGGCCAAGATTGCATCTCATCCAATAAATTTAACTACCACTGCGTTCTCAACAGCTATGGCAACGCTTCATTAGAAGTTTGTGCACCAGTGTTGTTCATAACAGGTTAAATTTTTTCCTAGTATTACAAATGTTTTAATGCTAGTATGTATGTTTGACATTCATTTGTCATCCTACTTTAGTTTTGCTAATCTATCAATTGGTTTCACATACAAATTTGCATAATTATTAATTATGAAATAACTAAATACACTTGCCTATTGGGCACTGTAATATATTCTTCAGTTCATGTTTTAATTAGAGTTTATATAATACATTATGTTTTTCATCTATTTGTGTTCAAGGCTTCTGCACAGAATACAATACAGAGGGGAAGGTAATTCAAGATCATTACAGCAAGGACTGTACAAAGTATGCAGAGCCTTGCCCGTCTCGCTACCTTTCTACTGAGGGATATAAATGTACGTTCAATCGACCGTTTGATTTATGTACATGTATTGTTGAAGAAAACGCCAAGAAAATGAAAAGTTTTCAACTTTATTGCGATCCCCCCGAATGAAAAAAAGACAAAAAAGAATTTAGTTAACTACAATTACATCTGTAGTTAACTACTAACAGTGTTGACGTTTATAATTTCATTTACATTAGTGATTATTTTGCCACTTTTGTTTACTATAGTAAGCTATTGTAAACTATAATTAACCATACTAAGTTTACTGTAGTGTTTCTGTTAGAGTATGTTGGCATAAACTTTAAGGAAATTGAAGATATTCAATTTTGCTTCAAATAAACATGCATGTGCAGATATAATCCTTGAAGATGTGCACAATTTAAAAGTCGTCTTCTGAAGATTATTTGATCATAGTTAATTAAATAGATGTTGAAAAAAAATCTTTCTGCAGTTAATTTGATTTTGATGAACCTCTGTATCAAAGTTTAGTGTTTGTTCAGGAAATAAATACAAGTAGGTAATAGTTTTCATTTCTTTAAATGGAGAGTCAGAGATCTTTTACTTCCACAAAATAAAAATTAACTTATTATATACATGTACGTATATTTTCTGGTATTTATTTAGATCAAGATAACTAGAATTTGACACTGTCTTGCTGAAAAAGTGTTTCAAATTCAAATTCAAATGTTTCTTTTCTATAAAGTAGTATGGTATATTAAATGCTACTTTGATGTTTGGGAGAAATGATTATCCGATTTGTATTCGGTTTACAGATCAGCAATGCTTTATGTCTCATCCCAATTCACCAAAGCTTTCTTCAGATCCCGAGGAAGGAAGTCTTACCAGGTACTTTTAACTACAATAACACATGTAGATTTTTTTCCCATATTTTGTTTCTTAAAAATCCCATATTTCATTGTGAGAAAATGCTAATTTTTTATAATCTACTTTCAGAATCGGGCTGTTAGTGGCAACATCTTTAATCTTAATTGCTGGAATAATTTTAACAATAATGTGGGAGAGATTTAAGAATACATTCAAGATTTTTCGGAAGAAAGGTACACATAACGTTATTTGCATTTGAATGACACTTCTTGCCAATTTTTTTTAGTTAAGTGGCATGTTTTGTTTGAAATGAATCTTGAGAAAGAAAAGAGGCAAACAAAAGGCCTGTTGGCTTCAATGCTCGCCTGAGTAAACTTTGAAATGCTATTTTTCAGATCTTTTTCCTATCTTCGTTCACACATATGTATTGTTTTTATCCTCATATTTGAGCCTCTTAGCTTTCAAGCTGTACTGGCTCATGACATGATAGAATTTCAGTCCCAGTGAAATAGATATGATTTCATATTAAAAAATATTACTATGGAAAACATGACATTGCTGACCTGGAAAATATACATATATCATATAGAATTTGATCCTTAGTTTCAGCCCATCCTAGTTAATAGGGTCATCAATTTGAAATACAAATGAATCCATACAAATTGGAAATGTCTTCATTTTATTATGATTCAGTATGATCCTTTTATACTTAAGAAAAGATATGTATCATTGATTTCCTATATAACACTATATAGGAAAAGTTATCTAAACTTGCTATCATTTGACTCTTACCTATCCCTAGAAACAATGGCATAAGCAAACTTCAATATACAATACCTGAGGATGCTTACATATTAGAATTAAAGATACCTTTATTTGCTGTGCCGATTTGAAGATTAAATTATTTTCCCTTAAACCATCACATGGATGCCAATATAAAAGGTTTATCCTTATTGTGGTCCCTTTTATCCTGGGGAACCTTAGCTTAAACGAATTGAATCGACTAATTTAGTATGCATTGTAATATACTAATCAAAGCCCATATAGCCGTTCTTTAAATGAAGTTTAAAGCACTTCACCTTTATATTCAATTGTTAAAAAAAAAAAAAAAAAAAAAAAAAAAAAAAAAAAAAAACTTGATTCACTATTGGGTCCCATCCTGCAGCCTAGGCCATAAATTGAATGAAATTAAGTGCTAGCAATTAAGAATTATTAGTCCACTACCAGTGAAGTCTTAGAGGAGTAGAGATTTCCTCCAGTTTTGTCCGACTGCCTAGCTGTTTGTCTATCTGTCCATCAGTCTGTTAGTACCCCCCCCCCCTCAGTCTGCGCCCCTTTCTTTTTCGCCCTTTTTTTTTAAATGCTTGCAGATATTGAGCTGATTTTTGAGCTGATTTAAGGTTGAAATTGACCAATTGATAAAATGTAAAAGAAAAAAAGAAGATTTATAATAAAGACAATGACAACATCAAGTACGGCGACGACAGAGAACTGACATATGTCGATCTGAAAAGCTCTTCCTTGGCTCAGGTTAGCTACACATCGAAAAGTGGCTCGCATGATTTTCATGCTTTTGCCTTTTCGAATGACATTTATGCGAAAATCATACAAAAATCATGCGAAAAGTCCCACATGTGAATTTCATGCGAATGTTATCACACAAAATTTCATGCGAAATTCATCCGATTTTTATGTGACTAAAATTTTGCATGATATTCATGCGAACTCCACTTTGTCTGTTATTCGTGTGAAAATCGTGCGATATTCACACGAATATTATGCAATATTCATACTATATGAGGAAAAGCAATGAACAAAAAATCGAACATTTCAATGTTTATTTAGATGCATCTGTCACAGTGAATGGTAAAATTTGCCAGTCTCTGATGATCCTAATATCATATTGTTTGGATGTTCCTTACGAATCCATTAATATTAATGATGGCTGTGTTTAAAGGCAGTTTTTCAGTCTTTTGTCCTGACAAGCATTTCCTACAAAGAATTAAATTAAATCATAAAAATATTTATTATACTACTACCCTTACTGATATTCCAATTGTTTCAGTCAAATGGGCTAACTCCTAAAATTACTGAATAGGACGTCATTACATACAATAAATTCCATGTTATCACCTGAAAGGTCCTTGTTTGGTCAAATTGTCTATGTTAAATTGCACTGGTACTATATGTTTTGAGCAAAACAGAAGACCCTGTGTTTTGTACATTGATAACTGCACAATAGAGGCATATGTCAGACATCAAAATATGTTATTGACCAACTCTCTATATAAGTAGTGTTTTCCCTAAGAACCAGCTACTGGCCAAATTGATCGCTTAAATTGATATAAATGCCGCTTTGAAATAAAAAAAAATTGTTGTAAGGTCCACAGAGATTTGTCATAAACCTCAACCCAAAGCCCGATACAATTGATCTCTAACCCTTTACTTTGAAATAAAGGGAAAACACTGTATAAGGTTGTTACTAGAACCAATTGTCCAAATGAGATATAATAGTCCATTTTAGTTATGATATTCCAATTGTATTTATAAGTTTTACAGACATTACAACATTATGCTGAAAATTTATTCAAAATCTGCATAAAATAATAAGAATATATCAAATGCAACAGTTTATCAGGTACAGTACAATCAGTAGCTTTAGCTATGTAGCTAAAATTACCTACTGTAGCTTTATTTATCTACCTCAGGTAGCTTTTTTTAGCTATTTCAAGGCAACTTTTCACAATTTTGCTTTTTATTTTAGAAAGACAAAAAAAATCGCAAATAAATGACTACTTATTTTTATACTAAGGATTATTTAAAAAGCAATCCATTGCAGAGATAGTTTTAACATTGCTGCGTTTGAACACTTTTAAGGAAAAGATGTATTTCCATTGTTTGAGTAACTGTACACCATCTTGTGTGCGATGAGGCATGGATAAGTATAATTGCTTCTCATTGTACTCGTGTTAACCAGAACTGGTTTTCTTTGTTATTTCATTCAAGAAGTAATTGTTTCGTCACAAATTAACTGTTGCATATAGCCCCAAAACTTGTATAACTTTGATTGAAATTGCGCAGAAAAAGACATCTCCAAGAGTGATTTTTCATGAATTGTTTTCAGATGAGCTTAGGCCATCCTTAAAAAAATGTTTTTTTGCGGTAACGCGACAGACTCATCAAAATCCACCCGACTCAATTTTTTTTTAACCTATTGAAGGTATGTATTTTTTAACAACCGTACCTACTTTCCGTTTTTATCCGACCATTTTTTTCCTGATGTCTGAATATTATAGACGCTTCCTTTCCTCAATCTGCAACTATTTGTCATCTCCCTCGGGAGATGACACATTAAGTTCGTTATCCGGAAGTGAAGTCCTAGTGTAAGCTGCCATCGATAAGCTGGTGGTCTGGCAAATGACCTGATGATGACACGATTTCTAAATATAGAGATGTACACAAAATTGAGCCGTTCTGTCTTACTATTACAAAATGGCCCACCTTAAAGTAAAACTACACAGGGTTCATAAAGGGTAATAGAGGCAGTATCACTTGGGTGGTGGTCTTCAAAATACACATAAACATTGTATCTAGGCTATTGCGTAAAACGATGGTCAGTGCGCGATGATCAAAATACACAAAACATGGCATATTGAATGTCTCAGCCAAGGCGTGGATCCAAGATTTACTGACGAAAGAAAACAGTGAAAACATTCAAGTTAAATGCATATATACAATGGCAAAAACTTAACTTTCATGTGAACTTAATAGTCAATCGATAATTACTGCCGTATATATGTAAAATAAAAGGGAACATTAAATAAATTTCGAAGAAAAGAATTTTTACCTAAAACATAATTTAAGCAGAAACATAAATGTCTCTGATTTAAGTAACTAAACTCAGTGCTGCAGGCATTGGAATAAATGTAATAAAAAATCATTAGGAGGATTATCTCGGATGTCTGCACTATTCTTTTTTTTTTTTTTAATGTGCCCCTGCAGAAAAGTTTTAGGAAAAACACAATTTTCTTTACCAGGATAAGATTTTTTTTAGGATTAATAAATAAAGCAACTTATCATTTCTTTATGCAATTCTAATTTGCGTTTTTTGTTAATGGGAAATTTTAAAAAAAAAAATCACTCTTTGTATTCTTGAAATAACGCCAAAATTATAAAATGTGTGTCTCTGACTCTCGTGAACAGCCTATAAAATCGATGTTGGTAGATTGGGGCTCTTTTCAGTGTGCAAATACTTAGATAAATGGTAACTTTTCAATTTTATAACCTTGATTTCTATGCATGCTATTTTCCGAGGATCGTATACATATAAATGTACTTATATTATACATAACATAGCATTAAAACATGAATCTGCATGGGCAGCAGATGGGTATGATGCAGAATTGTCTCCATTTTTCCCTTGATATTCCCAGTGGCTCGATGGCCAAGTCACTTCAAAGGATACGATTAAAATAAGGGAAATATTTGGAAATTAATTGAGGTTCGGATTAATTTTAGTCAGCGCTTTAAAACTTCTTTGCTGCCGTAGTAGGCGACTGAGAACTAAAGTCAAAAGAAACGCTAAGGTTTTATCCATCTTCATACGGAATAATTGTTATCTAATTTTTACGAATATTTCTCAGTGGTTAGATTTTTTTTACAGACATTGTAAATATTTAAAATAAATAAAGCATATTTACAACAGGTAAAATAATACAGGCACGCTGCATCAGGAGGGTTGCTCCCTTCCACTTTTTTCCCAAACATATTCATTGAAAGGCGCGCCCTTGCCCCATCTTTTGTTCCAGTATGGTTCGTCAAATCATCCCATGGGAATGTATTATAATATAAAGTATGTTTGTTGGAAAAGTTGTTATCCCCCCTTCCAAGAAATGAAATTTTGAGTTTGAGCCCCTTTTTCCCCTTGTCAAAGATTGTTCAGATAAGTCATTGATTCCCCCCCCCCCCCTTTTTTTCAAAAGCGATACTACTGCCTGCACTAGCTGAGAAAATAATGTAACATTCCACTGCTTTTTCTGTGACATTTATGAAGCCAAAGAGATGACATTTCAGGCTTTCTGGAAAGCCAAACTTGTAAAAGCATTTTGATGATCACGACACCCATGTGTTTAAAAATGGCGACGACAAGTCTGCGAGAAACACATCTATGATTATTGTCATTGATACGCATGTTTACTATGAAGCTAGAGGGAATTTGGGTTGGAAAAAGTCG